CTTGAAGGAACTGGTTCCCTTGAGTCACCTTCAAGTCAAACAATAGCTTAGTGGAGAGTGTCTTGCCTTAAGCATTGAGTTCTTTTGGAAAATTATCTCTCTGCAGCCAGTTTCCAGAACAAGAACTCCAGGGCTTAACTAGAGGCTGGTTTAGGATGCATGGTATGACCTTGGTGACTGTTTCTTTAACCTGCCCTGTGTTTTGATGCTCTCTCTTGAGAAATTAAACAATGACCTATATAAGCCATTTTCACTGTCCCTGACTCGAACTGTATCTAGTCACAATGAACATATTGTTACACTAATTCTTGGTCTTTCTCTGAGCAGTCTGGACTTTTGGACACTGTCTAATTAGGTTCTCAGACAATCTTTCTTAGTTCAGTTCTCCACCTTCCCCTCTATTTCCAAAGTTACCTGAAGCCACCAAGTACTGTCCGTTTTGGAGGGTTTCATCCGGTTATGTCTTAGCTTTCCCAGTTGACAGTACTTTAGGGTTTTCTAAGTCAGTTATCATTTATATATCTTCTATCTACCTTCTAGAATTTTCTTGCTCTTGTTTCCTATCCTTCACAGATTATGAAACCCCCTCTTTCCTCTTTCTTAAATTTTATGGTTACTTTATTGGAGTTGTAGAAAAGAGTGGGAACACTGGAGGTCTAGGGAGATGTATAGTAGGAAGTTGGATATTTATATCTTAAGCACAGAGAAATTCATAGATGAGGAAACTAGATTGGTGGTTGTATAGGGCTGGGGGTAGAGTGAGGTGGAGAGAATGGGAGTCATAGCTAAAAGGCATAGGTTTTCTCTTTGAGGTGTTGAAAATGTTTGAATGACTGTGGTGGTGGTTGCACAACTCTGAATATGTTAAAAAGCATTGAAAACTACTGAGTTGTATACTTTAATGGGTGAATTACATGTGAATGTGCCTGTGAATTTAGCACAATAAAACTATTTTTGAAAATTTTTCAGTTACATTGGGGAAGTGTTTTCCTCACACCTCTGCAAATGTTTCCTCACTGTCTTGTTGCTTTTAGGATTACAGTTGAGAATTATGAAGCTTAAAATATATTCTTTGGGCTGCAAGTGAAAGAAAACCAATTCAAACTAGTTTAGCCACAAAGAGGAATGATGTAGAATAGGCCCCACAAAACAGGGACCAAGTAGGCATATTGTAGTTTCCCAAAGAGAAGGATGCTGAGTGGACAAAGAGCAAGCGAGCACCATCCACATCTAATTCTTTTCTTCTTTGTAAGTGGTCTATTCTTCTGTTAAGATGTTTTGAACATTTTACCTTTAATTGCAGAAGTAGACAGCTCTGAGATAGAAGTCTTAGTCTTGCTTAACAACAAGGATGAACTCATAATCCACAAATTTCAAGGCTATTTAAAGAGAATTTTGAGGAAAAGAAGTTGTTGACACATGTTTCTTTCTAGGATAGTCATTCCCTTTGTTTAGCTAGCTGAGGAAGGTTAGAAAATACTTGCAGCCAGTTAGCAAACACTACCTCTCTCCTTCCTTTGCATCTTGTCTTCTTAAAGATGTTTCTGTTTACTGAAAAGGGTACAGAGCTTTCCTATATCAATGAAATTTGTTTTATTTTGTATCTTCCAAAGATAGTTGACTTATAAGCTTAAGTTTGAAAAATGTTTGTGACAGAAAATAATACTTGTGCATTTAATGTTACAAACTGTGTTTGTCATAGGAGATTGAATTTGCTCACAAATCTTCTGGTAATTAACTTGTTAATGCCCTCAGTGATCTTATAATTAACTCGTTGTTGTTGTTGTTATGTGCTACTGAGTTGGCCCCGACTCATAGCGACCCCTCCTTGGGTTGCCAAGGCAGTATCACTATGGAAGTAGATTGCCCACTCTGCCTTCCGAGGAGCTCTGGTAGCATAGTGGCTAAGGCACTTGACTGCTAACCAGAAGGCTGGCGGTTCAAATCCACCAGCCACTCCTCGGAAGGAAGACGGGGCAATCTACTTCTGTAGTGATACTGCCTCAGAAACCCAAGGAGGGGTCGCTATGAGTCGGGTTCCACTCGACGGCACATAACAACATAATTAACTCAACCAGCATTATAAAAATGGTGATGATTCCCTGAAGTTTCTGAAATATCCATCCTGCCAGTCAGCGCCTCTATTCAGTTTTGAAATATCATTGCTCACATTTTTCTTTCAAATGTAAGTGCACCCTTCTTAAACAAAAGCATTTGTTTGTACATGTCAATAATTTCTTTAACTCCTTATGGAAGAAACTGGCAGGTAGATAAAAGAGTTGCTTCCAAGAACCTTTGTGAAATAGAGATTTGTGGCCTCCGTGGGAGAAGAATCCCAAAACCAGCTAAGTTAGACGTAAGAGTGGTTCCCCTTTGATGATAAATAAAACCATGTCATCTTTGTGGTTGACTTCTCTATTGGGCTATAAAACACAAGCACTTACTGATTTCTGTAAGGTAACCTGGAACCTTACAGAACCTCACAGGACTGTGAAGCGTTTGCACCTTCATAAGTTGTTGATTGTCAGTCCGAATTAGCCTTTTCTGAGGTCAAGATGAATTTTCGTCATACTAGGAATTCTTGGTTTCAAATTGTCCTGTTCTAATTTCCTGGAATAACACAACAGAAATGTGACAGGGGAAATTGTGTGTATGACTGAAAGCTGGACTCTCAGCTTTTCTAGACATATAAAAAATCCGTCATTTAGAAGTGTATTGTGATCATAACCATTCTTGGCCAGCACAAATTTCAGGAGGACATTGTCATTTTATTTCAAGTTTCCCAATACTTCCATACACCTACTATTTGTATTGATTAGAATTATTGCTACTTTCTGAGATGAAACTGCAGTGTTTGAAGCCCATTCACCCCTTTCGACATCTGATTAAATCTATGACCCTCTTATAGAAACACACTCACATGTAATGCTGCATATGATCTCAGTTTAAGAACACTACTTTTTGAGGTAAGAATGTGCCACTAACAAGGTGACTAAATAAGATAATTATAAGGAGGCAAAAATAGACTTTAATGTCGTCATCATTCTTAGACTATCTCTATTTTACAGACTGCCCAAACTCGTTGCCTTTTGACCTCAGGGCTGTGTTGATAAGACCCCAAAACGTGGTTAAAGTCGATCTAGTGGAAAAATTCCACTCAGTCGATTGGGCATCACGTGCAGAAAACTGAATACAGGAAACTTATGCAGCAGGGTTGTTTTGGTTCTGTGTCGGTAGAAGGGTTTTAACTGCATTTCACCGTGGATCCCTCAGGTGCTGTAAAGTCCCTTCTGTATTTGACTAGGATAATAAACAAGTGTGAGTTTTCGTTTTTTTCATCTGAAATGCTTACTCATAAGGATGTCTCTCCTGCACACAGCCCTCCCGAGGAGCCGGGGGTGGCCTTGGGGCGAGAGGCCAGACTGGGCCACTGAGGGGGCGATGCAGAGGCGGCTGCCCTCAGTAGGGCTGCTGCGAAGGGCAGCCCAGAACCTCCAGCCTTAGGGCAATGTGGCGAGCCCAGCTCTGGGGGTAAATTCGAAGGTAGCGCGTCAGGAGTGGGGGTTCTAAAGAGTTCGCCACAGGTGTGAAGGAATCTTGATTTCCCTGAAATACCTGAAAGAGAGAATACGGCATTTGTTAGTTGTTTTTTCAGGGGAATATATGTATATGTCTCCCCACCCCCTATTATCAGTCAGTCTCCCCTAGCTCCTCCCCCAACATGGCCCCTCACGCTCCTTGTTGGCATCCATCATCACTCCCACCTCAAATCCCTGATGTTTTTCTCCTTCCCAGTGGCCATTGCTGCCAATAGTCCAGGATTGAGTCCTGGGAGGTGTCTGGATGCCCTGGGAAGGTGGGTGGGGCATTTAGGATGCGGACCGCCGGCCTGCCCGCACCAGCCTTGTATCTGCAGTGTTCTCAGCCCTTCCCACACCCTCAGCGGAACTGAAGCCTTTGCCCTAACTCACACCCAATCGGGGCTGTCCACAGTTGAACCCCCCCCACTAGCTGTTGCAGTAGCGGATAGATCCGAAATGCTCAATACGTGGAGCTCCTGCTAGTAGCCAAGGAGCTCTGGCGGCACAGTGGGGAAAGCACTTAGCTGCTAACCAAAAACTTGGCAGTTTCAACCAACCAGCCGCTCAGCAGGTGAAAGATGAGGCAGTCGGCTTCTGAAGACTGACCGCCTTGGAGACCCTGTGGGCAGTTCCACTCTGTCCTCTAGGGGCGCTGTGGGTCAGAATGGACTCCACTGCAGTGGGTGTGGTTTGGGCTTTGCT